AAGAAAGAAAGAAAGAAAGAAAGAAAGAAAGAAAGAAAGAAAGAAAGAAAGAAAGAAAGAAAGAAAGAAGAAAAGAAAGGGAAAACCTTCCCAGGCATTACCAAAATGATTAAAATAATTAAACAATCAACAGGGATGAACCCAATTGGCGGCCGACAGATAATCTTCAAAGGCTTTCATGCTTTTTAGCTGCAGAGAATGCAGTCGTTGGCTCCTATTCAGCAATATTTTCCATTCTCATTGAATATGATATAACCACCTTCCCAGAACAATGTAGCTATGAAAATGCTTGGTTCCTTAGTAATACTGTCTCAAGGACATTCATTTCCTTAGGAGTTTTATAAATGTTAGGTCACTCAGTGAAGCATCTGTCCTGCTTATACGCAGCTCTCTTTTACAGAAGAAAGAGTGGGACTGGGATGACAGCAAGCTACTGGTGATGCATGACCCAATCTACAGGTAAGAGATGTGAGTAAGCAAAGCATGGGTTAGCAGCCTCAGTACTGGCCCCTGGGAGAAAGAAAAATTAACTAGCAGTGTTCATATTATAGGCAAGTCTCCAATGACTTAAACAAGGTTCTATTTTGCAGGCAGGTCTATTGAGAGCAATATCAATAGTACTGGGACTTACATATTGCTTCATGAAACAAACAAAATGTGAAAAAGCTATGATATTTATTACTTACCAAACACATCTAAATTATATTAAAGTAACCAAAATATCTTTTTACAATCTCCAAGGTCCTTTTGAGTACCCATTTGGAAATTGAAAGTTGAAAAATTTGACACTCCCTGCCACTTCATAGTGCTTTATAGAATTCTCTAAGTGGTTTACAGAGTCAGCATATTACGCCCAACAGTCCTCATTTTATCGATCTCAGAAGGATGGAAGGCTTAGTCAACCTTGAGCCAGTCAGAATTAAACTCCTGGCTCTGTAGGCAGAGTTACCCTATAAGACTGCATTTTAATTACCATAGCTCTTAAATAAGGTATAAACTGCGGGTAGAAAGCTGATATTTACGTGGGTTTGTCTCTCTTTCCCCAGGTCATTTTGTTCTAGGTTGTAGGATATTTGAACTCTGCACATAGTCCAGAATGAATCCAGATTGGGACCTAAGATCAAGCTAGCACTTGGCAGAGGTTTCTAGGTCTTGATGTGACAGTGACAGCACTTTGAATGATAGTGTCTATTTCAGACTTCCCTTTTCACCAGCCCAACTTCATGTTTTAGTACATGAGCACTGTACATGCAGAAGTATTTGTAGGAGAATTAATAATCCTTTGGATGGAATTCTAGAATTCATATTATAATTCTATCATGCTGCACCTATAACTTGCATGACAGAAAATATTAATTGGTAACTGACCATATGCATTTAGCAATAGCAATAGCAGTTAGACTTATATACCGCTTCATAGGGCTTTCAGCCCTCTCTAAGCGGTTTACAGAGTCAGCATATTGCCCCCAACAACAATCCGGGTCCTCATTTTACCCACCACGGAAGGGTGGAAGGCTGAGTCAACCTTGATCCGGTGAGATTAGAA